CGATTTAGACTTAAGAGGAGTCATTGGAAAGGTATTTTCTCACCCTTTTAAGCTCATTCAAAAGATGGAAGAGAAAGGTAGGATGAACGAACGTCATTCAAAGTTGAATTAAGATGTGTTGGTATTCGAAAAAAACAAGATGGAACACGAATAACGTTTTTTTGGCCAGAAATAAAAACAGTGTCAAAATAACTTTCTACTGAGATCCCATAAGTCTAAATCAGAACATTTTTGGCCCAGTTATTCAAGTTTTTCGTAAACCAATCTTTGAAAAATGTAAAAAAACAGCCGCGAAAATCTCATTATTACGATTCCGTTGAAAAGATTTTTAAATATTTTTATGCAGATTTTTTAAGCTTAATCTAATTTGTCATCTGAGGGGACTTTTTTCAACGCGTTCTTTAAGAAACTATTTTTATTCATAAAAAACTTCATTTTTTGAGGTATTTTCAAATCGGTCCAGCTCGCTTAAATCTTAATATTTTTCCGAAATATTTTGGTGGACCGCAACTTTTTTTGGTGATGCAGTCTAATGTACATACGATTTTTTTTGTTCAAACAGTTTTTTGGAACCGTAAAGTTTTTACTGATATGTATATTTATGTATGTAAATATGTACATTTATATGCACATTTTTTCCAAATTTCAGCAAATATCGGTATTTTTTTTTGAAATTTTCGGCAATATATACTTATATGTAAATGCTCTATGCATGTATGCCAAATTAAATGTGTTCGAAACAACTCACTTTGGTGTTGAGGGGGTATATGGAGTACAATTTTGGGTTCAGTTTTGGGGTAAAACTGTTTTCCGGATCGTCCTTCCTTTCTACCTCGTTGATAGATTCCCTCGCTGAGTCTCGCTCCGATTCAGTGCTTCCTTCTATAGTGGGTGTTCAGTTGATTGTTGACTTATGTTGTTTTTGATGGATAAATTAGGTTTTTATTTAAGTTTATGTTCTTGTCGGTTTTTTACGCGGCGCGCCCGAATTATTTTGTTACATATGTGACTTTGTACACTGTTATTGTTGATTTGTGTTTATGTAAGTATATATGTAATTTTTTATTTTTACTTTTTGTCTTGAGGTAAGCGTCACTCGGTTCACTTAAAATGGTATAACTTGCTTTTTTCAGTTTTTACATAATAATATAAATATATATCTACGAAATGTGCAACGTTATACTTTTATTGTCGTTGTTGTTTGTGGACTGTATACACTTTTTTTCTTCTGTTTGTTTTCCTTTATAGGTGCCATTCAGTAAGGCGATGGAGGACCATGAACACTTTAGGCCCTTGGTTTTTTATATGGCAGATAGCTTACCACATATTAACACTAGTTCCACTCTATTAAAAAAAGAACACACAGTATTTTTTAATTCGATTTACAAATTGCGTATGGTTTTATTGATAAAATCGAGGGGCTGTTCGGACACGTCCGCTGGGGGCGAAATTTCGTACGATTGTGTCTTTTCACATCAAAGTAAAATTGACAAGTATGTGTGGGTGTGTATTACAAGTGTGGTGTGTTTACAGAGGTGGTGAAGTTAAATGTCAAAGTGTTTTATTTACAATAGTTAGTGTGAATTTATGTGTGTGTGAATGTGGAGTGGATGATGCGACATCTGCTGACGTCGGTTGATGGTGGAGTCGGAGCTGCTCATTTAGCAAGAGCGGTTTTTCATTCCTTCATTATCCTTCCTTCGCTTTTCGGAGTATAGGAGGATAATGCAGGGATGTGTTTATTTGGAATAAACATCGCGGCCGCCTTGCAATATCTGCGAATAAATTTGAAATTAGTGGGGTGGATATACATATATAACTCAGTTAATTTAAATTGGTTAAAATCATTCAGTAGCGAAGTTAGGGTTAGAGTCCAACCAAATACTGTGTTCTGGGCTACGACCATGCCATTGTCCGGATTGAACACTCCGCTTCTGAGGATGAGTGGGTAAACGTCGGCTCCTCATTCCAAAATGAGGTTTCCATTAGACGTCAGCGAGGACTAAGTGATCGAATCGGTTTTTTACTTCGCCACTTAAGTCCCGCTCATATGGCTGTTTGGGCAGATCCTTACTGATTAAACTGTTACACTCCATGCGAAAATTTGTCATCCGTTAGTGAACCCAGTTGCATGTTGCATATACGATGAGCTTTTTTACCAGATCATGTGCAACGGTTGTAAATTTTTGGGTCGGGTTTATTAAGGGTCGAACCTTATGGCATATGCCGTCCTGCTTGAGCCGCACGATTGCCGTCGGTATTAAGGTCTGCTTGGCCAGTAATGACGGTATTTTAGCATTAGCGGGTGGAGCGTGAGTTTTTTTTCTTTTTTCTGGTGTTTTGTGTCCACCTTGGTGTTGAATCTTGGGTGGCCGCGAAGGGAAGAACGGTGTTTTCCATTGCACGTTGAACATCTCTTCTCACTTGTACAGTTTTGTGTCTTGTGCGACCTGGCGAAGCAATTTATGCAATAGTGGGTCCTGATGACTGGGTTGTACTTCTCATGAATATTCATGTTAGTGTACTTTATGCATGTCACCAAGCGATGGTCCTTCTTGCATAAATCGCATGCTACATGGCGGTGTGGGTCGTACTTATGGCGACGAGTGTGAGTGATCTTGGGTTGTTGTTGTTGTTGTAGCGGCTACAACAACCCCGCCCAGATCGTTTAATACCTCAGTCTTTGTCGTCAAGTTCCACTAACGGCAGCCCTAAGAAGCGTGCAGCCTCCATAGGGTCGGTCCACAGGGACAAAGCCGTTAGGGTGGTCGGGTTTTCCAGGCATGCGAAGAGACGTTTCGAGTCGTGAGGGGTCTCTCCGCATGCCGGACACTCATCTGGCACATCCGCGTTTAGTCTGCACAGGTATGAGTTTAACCTGCTGCAGTAGCCAGAACGAAGTTGGGCAATTGTGCTTCTTGTCTCCCGAGGCAGATGAAGCTGCGTCTCGTCAATGTCCGGTGGTTGTGTGCTTAGAAACGTNTCCACAGGGACAAAGCCGTTAGGGTGGTCGGGTTTTCCAGGCATGCGAAGAGACGTTTCGAGTCGTGAGGGGTCTCTCCGCATGCCGGACACTCATCTGGCACATCCGCGTTTAGTCTGCACAGGTATGAGTTTAACCTGCTGCAGTAGCCAGAACGAAGTTGGGCAATTGTGCTTCTTGTCTCCCGAGGCAGATGAAGCTGCGTCTCGTCAATGTCCGGTGGTTGTGTGCTTAGAAACGTCATTCACAGGTCTGGAGTCTACATAACTCGAGACTGACTCCCTGTGAATGTCGCTCAGAGCCTGTCAGTATGCTGACGGGTCCAGAGGTTGATTAATGAACCTCTGGACCTCGTCCGTCAGTTCGTAGAGATGCCTCCTGACGTGCCTAGGCGAGGGCTCCTCTGCAAGCAGCTGTCTGTTTGGGTGGCCACATCTGTGGCTCCCAACCGGAAACTGCTTGCACAGCATTATGTTATGCTCCTTGACTGGGAGCATTTTCCCCTCGACATGCAGGTGGTGTTCTGGCGACATCGGAAGGCATCCAGCNTCCCTGGCGACCACACTGGCGCTGCGTAGTTCAAAACCGGCCGGCCTATTGCCTTGTATGTTGCCAGCAACGTTTCTTTGTCTTTGCCCCAAGTACTGCCGGCTAGCGACTTGAGGACCTTGTTGCGGCTCTGTACTTTATTGACAATGGCGATTGCGTGCGCAGAGAAGGAGAGCAGACTGTCGAATTTTACTCCGAGTATTTTGGGATTATTCACCGTCGGAATTGGTGCATCATCGACGTGAATTCCCAGCGGTAGCCTGACCTCCTTCATCCAGGTGGTGAAGAAGGTCGAAGAGGATTTCGTAGGGGAGAGGGCTAGGCACTTTGCAGTGAAGAATCGAGAAAG